AGGCAGGTTCCCAGCATCATCGAGGAAAAACTCCAACCCCAGTAGTGCACTCAAAAAGTCAGAATCCAGTGTCAGCAATAAGTCAAAGGGAGGCAAACACTCCAAAGGTAATGCAAAAGTTATAGAATTCTCTCCCTTAAGTTTTCACTTGTTCAATAGAGAGTAAGAGATAGAGTTCACAAAAATGATGTAGAATTCGTTTTATTTATAATCATCTGTGTAATTTTAAACAATTTGTGACAATGTTTGATGAAATTTTACCTAAGCACCATTTTGACCTTTTTTTAAACTCACTTTGTTTACCAAGTACTTTTTCATCTTTTTATGACCTTTTTTTGAATAATCACAAATTTAAGAATAAACCTGCTTAATTAATGTTTTAACTATTATATTGATCCCGCATTACTTCATGCACTTCTGCTTTTCAATTTGCAATAGAAATAAAGATAAATGGAAAAATTGATTCACGGAAATTAAGATGCATTAAAGTGTTGTTGACATTTGAATAAAAAAAAATGATATTAAGCAAAAACAATTGGACTTTCAGTTTTACAACTTTTTGTGGATCTTTTAAAAATTATTAGATGTCTCCATTGTCCACTTTCTGTATGATATAGCACTAAAATAATCAAGACTTGCTTTTTTATATTACGCTTTTGTCTTTGTTCACACCTAGTACCCCACTGCCATTTTCCCTTTAAAATAAATAGCTTTATTTATCAGAAATGGCCAAAATAACTTTAATGATAAATTTTGTTTGTGGCTTCAAACATGAATGAACAAGGAAAATTTGCAAGAATTAAAAAAGATAATTTAACCCTTTCCTGAATCAGTATATTTCATTTGGATTGCATTAGTTTTGCAATGTTGTTAACATAAATGACCTTTTTTTTTTGCTGTGTTGGTTACCAGCGTTTCCTATAAAAATATATAGACCAGTTGATTTTGACCTGTGTGTACTTAAACCAGTTGATTTTGACCTGTATACCTGTGTATATTTTCCTTGTCCAGTCCATTCATTGACCAATGTTTTCTGTTTTCATTCCTACAGGTCTCCCTTCCTCTAAAAGCTACTAAGTACTGGGTTATCTTTGGTCATCAGAAATAAAGTAGCTCCGATATTTTATAAACACTCTTCTTAGATTGATTTTATAAGATTACTCCTTTTTGTTGAATGCAATTCTTGTGAAGAAATCAATAGGAAAGTTTTGGGCTTGCTTTTTCACGAAAAGTCACTTATTTTGTACATTTATAGCAACAGATAAAAGAAATATCAAACAATATTTAAAGACTGTGATTTATATAGATAAAAAGGTATGACTCCATGCAATGATTTGGAAATGGTAATCTATTTAATATAGTTAAAATGTTAAACTCTGTATTGATTTTGTTTTCATGTTATAAATGATAATAATTAATTGGTGATGGGATATAGTTTGTAGCTCACCTGTGCTGAATAGCTCAAGAGGGCTTTTCTGATCAGCCATTGTTTGCCTCCATCCGTCTGTAAACTTTTTAAGTTTTAACTTCCAGAGAGCCACTGGGCCAAATTTAATCACAGATCGCACAAATCCTATATATATAAGGTGATTCTAAATTGTAAAAATGAAGGGCCAAAATCCCTTCTAAAGGGAATTAATCAAGAACAAGCAAAAGCAGGATTAGGTCATTACAAATTCTTCTTTTCAAGAACCAGAGCGCCAGAAGAGGTGAAACTTGAAGTGGAAGCTTCTTTGGATAGTGTGTATTTTAAATTTTTAAAATCCTCTGCCGGGGATAGGGTGGTGTCACAGTAGGGGAATCAAAGTTTTACAATAAAATATATGAGATTTTTAAAGTCTTTGTTTCAAGAACCACTGGACCAGAAAAGAAAAGGTTCCTGAGGTAGTGTTGAGTGTAAATTATTCAAATCATTGTCTACTGGGTTTAAGTTGGGCCACCATAAATAATCTTTTTTTTTCACATGAGAGAAAAATTGAGAACCACTTGCCAAGAAAAAGTGAAAGCTATGCTGCAAGTTTTTTGAGATGGTGCAAGATTATAAATTTATAGGAAAAAAGGATTAGAATAAGCTTTTTTTCTCAAGAACAGCATAGTCTTGACAAGGCATATTTACAAGGGAGCATCATCTGGCTAACAATATTTAAGGGGGGAGGGGCACAAAAGTTATCAAAATTTTGCATAGGAATACATATAAAGGGGGAAAATATGTGATGAAGAACATGAGGGTCTAAATGATTCAGGTGAGTGTTGTGGTCCATGGGCCTTTTGTTGTGCAGAATGCCGAAATCAGTGTTTAATAAGACAAACAGATACAGCATTTAATGAACAAATATATTTACGAAAAACTGCTTTTTTATGGACAGATTGATTTGTTCAAGGATATGTTTAAAGAATGTGTTCACTTTTTTATTCTTATAAGCCTATTTTCTACCTGGAAACAAAGACATTCAATGTATAACAAATATCATTTTCCATCATATGTACATTGTGGTTGTGAACCTATTTTTGTCCTGTTTATTTTGTTACCCAAATTATGAATAAATTGTTACAGACTATGATGAATCATGAATAAATTATAAATGCAACTCTTTAGTTATGAGGTATTAATGTGAAATCAGTATTCCTGACCTCTTTACAACTTTGTTGCCCACTTTAAAACAAGAGGTTGGATATAAAAAAAAATTACATTAAGTGAATTAAGTAATAAATTTTCCTTTGAAAGAGTCAATGAAATAGAGTACAGAAATTTTACTGGTATAGTTTATGAATTTGGAAAGATTAATTCCTAAGATGACCAGAAAGATGTCCAGTTATAACCCAGGATTTAGTGGCGGTGGATTTTTATCTTGTGTAAGTTTGACCTTAACTCATGCAAACTTGGTATGCATGACTTAGTATGCATGATCTGCCCTGCTGTGCCTCAAGTCTGCATGAGCTGTATCTAAGACAGACTGTTTAACGATTACAAACTTATATATCTGTCCTCTTCTGTCTTGAGCCCATAACGATAACCCATCATATTACCCCCAATAAATGTTCAATATACTCATGCACATACATACATAAACCAATTTCAATATATATATCAATACAAAAACATTCTGATATCATTACCTTTGCATATACCGATACATGTACATTGTTACTTGATATTCATACACTGTGATGAGAACAACTTTTCCTTAACCCCAAATTTCCTCTTATTTTATATCTTTATTATTTTCCCTCTGTATTTTATTGCAGTGTATTGTTATTTTTCCAGCAGGTTGTCAATTTCTCCAGTTATTGTAATGGACTTGACATTTTTTCTGTCTGCATGGCATTGTTTATTTGTTGTCTGCATATTTTTTTTTAAACACTTTAATTTATATCCAAAAGAGAAAGTAAAATATCAACACTTCATTTGCCAGCTTCTTAGGTCACAGTGACAAATTTAAGTTATTAAGAAATGCGGAAGTGCGGGTGTACCAAAGAAAGAGGATTGTGGTTGTGCATGTAGATAGGTATTGTCAAACGTTTACATCAATGTTAACAGTAGTCTTTATCAAGTATTTAACGTCGCAATGAATTTAGATTAAATGTAACATTGGAATAATTGATTATATATTCAAAGGGAAAAGTTTAGAAATTTTGATAACTGCTATTCATGTTTGGTAAAAGGTTAATTATGTAGTGAGGTATTTGTATATATATAAACCAAAAGTAGAACAACTAAATATGGTTTTATCCACATGCAGGTATTTTATATCATGTACATAAATATTAGTCCTTCATAAATCGAAATTTTTTTTGTCTTTTTTTTTTTAATGTTTAAATATTGAATGGCATTGAAACGTACAATTCTTTTTTAATTTGAAACTGTATTACCGGTACACCTAATTCTTGCTCAATATAGACCATTTATTACATCGATAAAATAAGTATTATTTTCAGGAATACTTTGACTGCATTATTTATAATATCTTTTGCCGTTGACAATGGTTGGTCTCTTTTACACAGGTCATAGTGAGGATACAACTCACATCCGCGTGGTAGAACTGGAGCATGACATCACGGGATCCCTGGGGCTGAGTATTGCGGGGGGCATCGGTAGCTCTATCGGGGACTCAGCTGTCATCATTGCCAATATGTCACCCGCTGGACCGGCAGCAAAGTCAGGAAAACTCAAGGTACCAAACATAACATCGTGTACTGTCTGGGGTGTAAATTTGCTGGATCATATTTATATTCTTCCCTGAAGGCCTCATAAAAGCTAGATGCTTATTAGCCTTTGCCTTTTCAATTAGACAAGAGAGCAGAACAATTGGGAAAACACAAATAAAATTGAGTGATTTTGTATCTCTATAACAAGGTTCCCTCAGGTGTTTTGTAGTATGTATCAAAAGTTGAAATGTTTAACTTATGAAATCTTGCAGAGAAAATTTTGTCTAGTAACAATACCTTGTATGTATAGATTGGAGACAAGATCCTGAGCATTAACGACATACAGCTGGACGGCATGTCTCATGATGAGGTGGTCCAGTTACTGAAGAAACCTGGAACCATAAAACTAGCAGTCTCGCAAGGTAAGGAAACCAGTAAACCCCCTGTATCACAAGGTAAGGGAACCAGTAAACTAGCAGTCTTGCAAGGTAAGGAAACAGTAAACCCCCTGTATCACAAGGTAAGGGAACCAGTAAACTAGCAGACTTATAAGGTAAGGGAACCAGTAAACTAGCACTTATAAGGTAAGGGAACCAGTAAACTAGCAGACTTACAAGATAAGGGAACCAGTAAACTAGCAGTCTCACAAGGTGAGGGAACCAGTAAACTCCCTTTATCACAAGGTAAGGGAAAGGTACACATTGTAAAGAATTGGCAGATGAGGTGGTCAGTGGAAGGGGGGGGGGGTCAGTAACCTCCCTGCAAAAATAAAATTCTAATTCTGGTGACACAAGGTATGTAATCCATTCAATCTATAGTGCCCTGATAAACTGTTACATGTACTCATTCTGCAATCAACTTTCAGTGTCACCAACTAGGAGAACAGTCAAATTCGCCATATCACATGGTAAGGTTTGGACTTAAATATGGTTCAGATAAAATCAAATTCAAGACCATGACACATCCTTAGCACTAAAAACCCTGTATCATGAAGATATTTAAAAATCCCTGAACTTAAAAAAGCATTAAAAGACATGACTCACCCTGTCCATTACCATCTCTGATTCATGACAAAACCATGATGCAACTTTAATCATCAAAATCACAGCAACATGTAGAAACACAATGCAGGGCACAGGCATACCCTGAACTACATTTAAAAAGGTATTAAAATAACTTGTCAGGCCATGTACATTGCACACTGAGCCATCAAACTGCACTGCATGCTTTAAAAGTACACAACCAAGACCACCAAACCCGCCATAACAAAACTCAAAAGTAAACACCCCCCCCCCCCCCCCAAAAAAAAAAAAAATTGGAGCAATTCAAATCAGGTAAAGTATTAAAACTATCTCTATCATGGTTATTCAAGAATAAAAATCTTATCTCTGCAGCATTGCTGTTTTTGATTTACAAGTCTGTTATACAGTAAATTTGTTCAATGATTTCAGGAGAGGACACAAGAGTAAGTGTCAGTGGTCGTACGTCGCGGCAGGTCAGTACCGACATGTCACAGGAGTATGCTGAACTTATGGCGCAGGACAACGTGTTCCAAGAAGCCATGGCTCCTGATGAAGGGTATGTTTCAAAAACTTATCTATGGATCCCGGCGTTTATCTGTAATTGTCTTTATGGACCATTTAAGTTAAATAAAGACAAAAAAATGTTATCTGTGTTTTTAAGATTTTTATTAATAATTAAAAGGGTTTAAATTTGTCAAAAATAACCATGCATAATAATTGGTCTTGTATAATTCTATATTCTTCATATGACATTTATTCAGTTCTGATATTGTATGTTATAATTATTACAGACCCCCACCTCAGTGTAAGACCCTCCATCTGAACAAAGGACCAGACGGCCTGGGTTTCTCCATCGTAGGAGGACACGGCAGTCCTCACGGGGATCTTCCAATCTACGTCAAAAACGTCTTCGCTAAGGGAGCTGCTGCCGATGAGGGCAGTCTGAAGCGAGGCGACCAGATTATCTCAGTGAACGGACAGAGCCTTGAGGGCTGCACGCACGACGAAGCAGTGTCCATCCTCAAAAACGCCAGAGGTGCTGTTACAATGACTGTGTTGACTTCATAGAGAAAACACTCCAACTAGTGACAGAGGAAATTCTGGTGTTCAAAACTGGAAACTTTTTTATGCAAGAAACTAGGAATAGTAGAACTGAAATTATTTTATCTTATATTTGTATATATGGTCAATGAAGAAACAAGATAATTTTAGAAACTCTCTAGCTTTCCATTTTGATGTCAGTAATTGCATGTTTTTCTTTTTAAGTCAACAGTGATATTTATAATCTTAATTTTTATTCTATTGTATAAACATTATGTTGATATGTATTACTTAGATTTTATATTATACCAATTACAGAATGTACACATTTTGAAGTGTTTAATATATTAACTACCAGTTTCTGTTTGTCACTTTGCTCTATCATCTGATATCACATTATGCTATATAATCTACATTTATAAACAAGAATGTGTTAATTCATCTTTTCTGTATATTTTAGCACATTGTTTTGAAGCAATTCTTACCAAAAGAAGTGCACATAATTTTGTATTATTATTATTAAAAAAAATTGCAATTAAGAATACTTTGTTGTTAATATTATTGAAGGAGGTGGCATTATAGTTGAATGCCACTACATGTATAATACTAAAATATGTTTCAATTAGGTTCAAGTTTTGTAAACAATACTTTTCTCTCTCAGATGATGTTTATTTGGAGAAATTAGGAAGAGACAATATATCACAAACTGAAATGTATACACATGATATGCAGAGCATACTTTTAAGAGGTTTTGAATATAGTTTTCAATTCATCAAATTTGTTTTGAAATGAATTTTAGGAAGGCATGTATAAAAATCTCATAAATACAGAAAACAGAGCAGATTTGAAAATTGAATTTTTATTTTACACCCTTTACATGTAATGACAACTTGGTAGCTTTATATGGAATAGTTAAAGGTATTTTTTTTAATACTTAACTTTTTTAATTCATGAAAATTGTGATCAAAGAATTGATTCATTTCATGAATGCTACATCATATAAAATTTGTGAATTTAGTGTTGTTGCCAAATAATTTGTGCAACCTGTAAAATGAATTTCTAGGTCACGTTTTTGGACAATTTTGTTGATGCACATTATTGACTTTAATAGTTTAATTTTTGAATGTTTTAATTACTGTTGCTTAATCAAGGCATATTCCATCAAACCAAAATGGAGTCAAGAGTGCTAAATTTGTCACATAACAATCACTTATCATTTTGTCCTTATTTTGTTAAAACATTTGTTATTTCTTTGGTCCAGAAATAAAATACCTGTACAAATAGACAGTGTTATTTTTTTGTTTTTGCTTCAGCTGCTGCAAGAATTTGCCTTTGCCCAAAAGTTCACTTGTTATTGATGTAATCACTGTCTATAAAGCTGTCCACATGTCTCTTAAATTTTCTGCTTTATGACTTATTTAGCTAATAAAATAGGAGAAAAGGAGATATTTAGGTGAAGGGTTATCTCAAGAGTGGAAGAGACTGTGATTTGTATAGTACTTGAATTTACCAAATTTTAAGGTGCATCTTGATTGGAACTTATCAAATTACTTTAGCTCACCTGAACCAAATGCTCAAGTGAGCTCTATAGATTGAAGGGTGTCTAGGGTCCATCTGGAAACCTTCCACTAGGAGGAAGGACCGCTAGGCCAATTCAAACCAAACATGTCTCAAAGTGTCGTTGGGTGAGGAAGATTCACGAAGAGCCCCTATTTTACAGAAAATAAAGAATGAATAAACTTTTAAAGGACGCATCTTTTAAAAAGCTTTTTTTTTAGAGAACCACTGGACCAGATCTACAAAAAATGAAGAAACTTCTGTGAAAGGTTCCTGGCATGTAGAATAGAATTTGTTCATATCAACCCCAGGTAGGATGGGGTCGCAATGGGTGATCAAAGGTTTACATGGAAATGTACAAGAAAAATCCTTTAGAAGAACTGCAGGACTATGATAATCCATTAATCATTCTTTTAACCCCTAGAGGTAGTGCTGAATTATTTTGTTGAAATCACCGCCCAGAGGATAGGGTTTGATCAAAATATGGAATCAAATTTGACATGGGATTTTTAATCAAAGGATTGTTTAAAAATGTTCAGAACTCATTAGAACCTGTTCTTTCCACTTTTGTCAGGAATAGAAAGTACATACACTACCAGGTAAATGGAAATATCTGCCGCAAATAAAATCAAGATGTGTTTGGTAAACACTGATGTATACCCATAATGTCAACTGATGAAAAGTTTTGTTACCTAAAGGAGGGCTTGTCTAAATGAATTTACCTGTGAAATATGAAAGCACTCACCATTCAAATGTATATGGCCCAGGTTAAATTTTTATTTTAAAAAATGTGGGTCAAAGTTCAAGATCAAAGACTCAAATTAATGGTATGCAGGGGAAGGCATTGTCATAAAAAACACACAGGTGAAATAAAGCCCAAGTACCAACAGTTCAAAAGTAATGGCCAAGGATAGAGTTTTTTCAAAAGTAGGTCAAAAAGTCAACAGGTAAAAATTGTTATCCAACCAAACGAATATATCTGTGAAATACGGAGGCTTTTGTTCTAACTGTTCAAAAATTCTGAGGTTAAAGTTTTATTTTAAGTGAGTCAAACTTAAGGGTAAAAACTATTTATACCCAGGGAAAGGTCTTGTCATAATGAATACACATGTGAAGTATGGAAGCTCTAGGACCAACTGCTCTAAAGATAGGTCAATTTTAAAGTGTGGTAAATTCTATGAAAAAAAGGTCAAACTTCAAGTCAAGAGGTCAAATGTGGCGGTATACAAAGAAAGGCCTTGTCACAAGGAATACTCATGTAAAATATGAAAGTCGTATCAGCTCCAACCCATCAAAAGTTATGTGCAAAGTTAGCCTTTTGTGGAAAAACAGAAAAAACAAATTGACGGACAGGGCAAAAACTAAAAAAAAATTCTCTCTCTCAGAAAGAGGGAGTTGGATGGGGTGGGATAGCAACCACTTGTTTTTAAACATTTTTAACATTAAAAATATTACCAGACACTAGAAACAAAAATATTTTTTCATCTGTGTTAAATGAGCTAAAGAGGCTTCACGACCTCTTGAATTAAGGTCCTACCCTACACCAAATTTACCCATAGAAAACCCACTAGTTAAAAGCCCCCGCCTTTAATTAATGTTGCGACATCTCATTTACGAATTCAAAGTAAAACTTTTTCCACAGTGGACTAGAACTAGTGGAAATGACATACATCTATAAATTCTATAATTATGATTTCTTGAGATTAGAGGTGGGAGTATTTCTCCTGTTCCCTTGTCCAGAAATACCCGATGTTAGTATTTTTTTTAGTTTGCCTAAAAATATCCAGTAACTTGGTGCAGGTCAGCCCATTTGGTAATTAATTTTCTTGTTAAATAAAGCCTTAAAAAATCAAAAGGCAAAAATAAAAAACGGGATTTGAACAAACTCAACAATTCATTTCGGAGGCGGGAGATAACTCTATTTACATTCTATTAAAAATAGAGGGGGAGGGGGTTGACGAGAAAAGCGAGGATGCAGATGACGGGAGGTGGAACAACCGGCCTTTTAATGAAATTTCTTTTCTAAATCAAAAGAAAAGAATATAATTGGAGATAACAGTTTGGACTTTTAATCAACTAGAAATAATGACAATTCAAATTAAGCTTAAGCTTATTTAAGGTATTGTTTATTATTATATTTCTGTACATGTGAAAATGTTTCCTATATAAAGTTCAGAAGGTAAAATGACTATTTTTCATAGTCTGAAAATTTCCACGCATAGAAAGCTATAACCCGGGGCATAGCATTTTTGATATCCACCCTCGGAAGATTTTCATGCCATTTTTCCCGCCAATTTGGATTTCAATCGATATATCAACAGACTTAGAAATTATAATATACATCAGTATAATAAAACACTTATCTACTGTTTGTCATGTGATGGGGATGGATACATGTAGCTCTTTTATCAAACCCTTGACAGGAACTATTCCCCTCGGGCAAGCCCTCGGGGAATAGTTCCTGTCGTGGGTTTGATAAAAAGAGCTATATCCCACTCACAACCAGTGGATAAGTGTATAATAAAGAAATATATACAAAGATTTTGAGAAATCGTGTAAACAGTTTTCTTGATCGTTCAGTTTTGAAAAATTAAGGTATTTCTGCCCTTGTGTGATGTCGTGGGTTTTTGCAAAATATCCAGTAGAAATATATATTTTGAAAGAGTGCTTTTTAACAGATGTAATGAAAACTATTGTTTAGTAAAAAAAAAAAATTAAATGAAAATTTCCTTTAATCAATTATTCAATCTTCTAAAAATTTTCCTAAGGGCAGTAACTCCACATCATGTATTTTCATTCAGGAAATTATTTAACTTCTAAAGTAGAATGTTTTACCTGATATTCATAATTCAAGCACACTAAGAAAGTACTTGACAATTATTTTGGAACTCTTACCTTAAACAGTTAAACAATCGAATTTCCAAATTGTATTAAACGAATTTCTAAATTGTTCAAACAATTTTATTCATCGTACAAACGAATCTCTAGATCAAACAAATTTTTAAATTGTCTCTGATCGTCTAAATCGTATTTGAACGAATTTCTAAATCGTTCAAACGATTTCAGAAATCGTACTGTAAAGTTGTAAACGAATATCTAAATTAATCAAACGAATTTCTGAATCAGACAAACACATTTCCGAGTCATTCAATTTTATTTATTTTTCCTGCAAAATTGAAATGACACTAGTTCAGCTTTTAGACTAGGTTTCCGCATCTCACACTAAGAGGGTGACCTCGGCTATGGTTGATTTCCTAATTTTACACACACTTTTACTCTAAAACCAAAATGAAAACGGACGATGTTTCCGGATACAGTTGGTCAGGCGTTAGGCCTAGGTTATTGATCAAAATTCGATGGACACTGGCCAGTTTCACATAAATCATGTGAACATTTCTATGGATTTTTGTTTAGGATATTGAATGAGTAACCATTTGGTGTTGGCGAAACATGGCATATGATAAATTGAAAGGTCTGTATACAACAGTTTCATGAGGAATGTGAAATTTTGCAATGATGATTCGTACGTGTGTTTTTAACGTTTCTCAAACACGACTAAGTGTTTTCTTACATGCATAAAGGGAGTAAAATACATGTCCTGCATAATGTTGAAATGAAATATATTATTTAAATTAATGAAAGTACTCTGGTGATAAAGGCCTACCTAAGGGAGATGGAAAGGGCGAGGTATATCAAGGTATCCCGCCCACCCCCAGGGACAAATCCAGGTTTGTGCTGATAGTCAGGGACTCGGGGAGCGTAAAATGCAAAAAATGGTATATTATTTTCGTTTAAGGTAGTAAAACTGTGCTCTCTGAGGCTAAGAGAAGATACCTTTAGAAAAAATACACTATGCAAAGAATTGAAATATAACAGAGAACACTAGGACCTATATGAAAGTAAAATGTGTGTTTTGGGTTCCTTTATTTAGTAGAGACTATGGGGAAATAACAGAAAAACCAAGAGATAGAGTCATTAAAGGCGGGGAAATTCCCCAGCCTCCACTGTCTCGGGGACAACCCGGTTGTTGTGACAATTCAGTTATCTCCCTGTATATTGCAATTGTAAACCCATTTTGCCAAAAATTTAAGTTCAGATAAACTTTCTGGAATAACGTTAAGGACCTAGCTTCCTTTTAATCCAATCAACAAATGTTAAGTATTTTATTAATTGATTCACTTAATCAGTAAAAATTTCTGTTTTTACAGTCATAAAATTTGAATTAGACAGACAAAGATGGAGAGTTAAAAAACATCTGAATAGGGCAGAAATTTGGATCATCCAGTCAAAAAGTGGGTTATGTTTCGAAGTAAACTAGATAATAGATCTTCACCTGCTGTATACATACAATCCATATGCATGTAAATACATATTATATCCAGATATCTTTGATATCTATGATATCTAGCCCATGAAAGCTCAAAATCTTATTTCCAATGTTGTCCTTTGCTGTGTGTTGGATGTTGGCATGAGGGCTTCATTTCTGTGGGATGAAACTGTCATGGGGTACTCAGATAAAAACAACATATCCAAGCTGGATCCCCTTTACCCTCTCACATATACAACCTTTGCCACCAATCACATGGATTGAACTTGGATTGCAGCAGTGAAAAGCGAGTGCGCTAACCAGATCAGATGAAGTAAAAATTATAAGCATACAGTGTGAAAAAGACCCAGGCTGGCAGGGTTCTTTGGCTCGCTCCCTCTATCTCTTTTTTAGATGAAATTATAATTAATCCAATTGTATTTTTTAGTTGCTACATTGTTTAAATCAAGTTCTAACATTAAAATTTCTCAGTTTGCATATATAATTTTCAAATAAGACAATGAAAATTAACTTGTATTGTATCATGACACATAGTACATGTAAATACAATATGTGTATCATGAGACCTAGCGATCAATATGATTGATGTATCACTGTATTGTTACACCTCTAACTAAAACTGCCTTTGAATATTATTATTTCTCTCTTTTTGCTCACTCTCACTCACTTCTGATTGTAATTTGTATTAAGGAAAACTTCTGAAAACTATATAATTTAAGGTTATTAAGTAGGTAGAATCCACAAAGTATTTTTGGTCTTAGTTGTAAGCTCTCTTTTAATAGTGGCCCCAGGTCATCCAGCTCTCCAATGAAAATCCCCTTCATGAGGTCACTGAAGGGTAAATAGAAGACAGGATTGAGATTTAAATTAACAGTAAACCCTTAGGAGTTATGCAGCATCGAGCATAAATATATACATTAAAGCTGAAAGATAAAGGATTGAGGTTTTCTGATCACTCATTGTCTATTATCCATCCATTCAAGTTTTCTGTGGACCTACTGTAAAAGCACAAATATTCGTGGGGGATTACATTTAGTTTATGTCATTGTTAACAATTATAAGCAAAATTAAATCCCACACGAAATTTTATTTGACTATATATTGAATAAGGTTACTTTCAAAACAAGGAAATTAAATGCCAATGCCAAGGAAACTATTTTTGATGACAAGTTAACGAAATTTTATCCCCACGAAAATTTGTGCTTCTACAGTATTTTAGATTTACTTTTTAAATCTAAAAAGAACGTAGAATTAATTTGCAAAGTTTGTTGTGTGATTTCTTCTTAAATTTTGAACAGCTTAATTAGCAGCTAGAACTCAGTAAGGCCAAGCTTAAAAAATTCTTTGTTTGCAGTTGCTGACCTATAATTTTTTGAGGGGTAGGTAACGAGGCATTCTTTTTTTAAATTCAGTTTTTGGATGTTTGTTAGATAACAAATAAGGCCAAGCTTAAAAAATTCTTTGTTTGCAGTTGCCGACCTATAATTTCTAGACTGGGTAGGTAGGTAGGCATTCTTTTTTTTTTTTTTTGGTAAAAAATTGTTTTCAGATTTTTTTTAGATAACATAAAATAAAGTTTTTCGTAGGCCTACTATACATGAATAAGCTCCACTCTTGGTGTAAACTACTGTCAGATTGATAAAGACAAAAATTGACAATGTCTGAATGAAACACTTTCAATATCCTGAAAAATTTGAAAAGAGGATAATATTACAAAATGGCTAAAAAAAAGTTTGGGTTGGGTGCATTTTCAGTGGGTCGGTAGGCAACTGCAAACAATTAATATTTTACTTTAGGCCTAATAGAGCTTTTCATAAGCCTACTAACCAAGAATAATCTTCACTGTTATATAAACCACAGATTGATAAAAACAAAAACAAAAATTAAACAGTTTTAATATCCCAAAATTATTTTTAAAAAATATATAAATAACAATATGGCTTTAAAAAAGTTTGGGTCGGGTGAATTTTTAGTGGGTGGGTATAAGCAACTACAAACAAATAAATTTTTATTTTAGGCCGAACAGTTTGCTAAAATCAGGATCAATTCCTACATAACACATGTATACAAAAATTTTTTTTTTCTCCGTATCTGCAAAACCATGTCAGTTACATTGATATTGAAGCATCTCCATGGTGTTTTGATTCAGAGACCTCTTTTGGTTTACCGGTTATAATGGGGACATATTAATATGGTATCACAATTTTTCAAAGGAATTTAGAAATCTTTTCAAAATCTTCTCAAGAACAACATGGTAAAAGTAACTCAGTAAAGTGTTGTGACTCTTAGGTCTATTTTTGTTGAAATTTTATTCTTTCAAATAAGATACTAATAAATTATTATTTTTTATTGACAGAAAACTATGAGAGAGCTCAACGAATATACAGATATTTCTTCAGTGAAGAGAGAAATATCTATCCATTTTACATTCCTGCATTTATCTATATTTTCTTACTTCTCTTGCGTAAGTATGAAGAGTACATATTATACATGTATGCTAATTGTATTTTGTTTAAGTGACATACGTGAACATAGACAAAAGATAAAAGAATAGCATAGCATTGGCTTGGAAAATTTGGATATATACAAACAAAACGGTTTTGAACTTTATATTTCTTATCAAACCTATAATTCAGGAAGAAATATCTTGAGCATTAAAGAATTTGATATATTTTTATGGTTACACACAACTTTGCTAGCCAAGGGTCAGATTCGTTTACCCTCATCTTAGGGGAGATGAGGGTAAACGAATTGGACACTGGCTAGAAAAGATGGGTTTCATAGTCATTATTGGAACCATGCATAGTCTACTGTAAAATCACTTATTTTCGAGGGGTCTAATTTTTCGTGGTTTAGAGAAAAAATATGGATTCAAGGGGATTTAATTTTGAAATGAAGAATTGTTTTAAAAATAGTTATGTGACATTTTATATTTCATGGTGGACATAAATTCGTGGGTCTCTTCATACCTTGAAAAGAACAAAAATTAACACCCCCACCCCACCCACCCCACGAAAATCAGTGATTTCACAGTATTAATGCTACTGAATTTTTTGCAAAAAAAAAAAAAAAAAAAGAAAGAAGGAAAAATATTGTAATCTGAAAAAAGTTAATCAACTGAACTTGACATTTCAGATGCATTATGGGATAACATTCCAGATTACTGGAATAGCGTGTATACACAGGTCAGTGCTTATAAACGATTCTCACTTCCGCGCATACTGTGTTTCTTCTTGATTATTCATGTAGTGTACATAAATATTCCTTGATTGAAAATTTGCTTCAAACACATATTGCTTTAATTTTTGCCAAGGTGCATGAAAATTTTTGAAAACTAAATTAGTTTTACTATACAAAGGATTTCATTAGCTGAGGTTTAATGTACAATTTTTCAGCCTACCTTTCCCGAGGTTCCACCTCCCATGTTAGAATACTCAAGTGCTCAATATCCTAACGAAATCACGGTTGTGACAGCTTATTTTAACCTTGGAGATTTTCAGAAGGGTCCAATAAATATTTTTACACAAGACATGTACAAGCAGTGGATGTCTGCATATTCTAAGCTCAACAACAGCGTCATTGCATTCACTGATTCTGAGGACATAGCCAGACTTTTCAGACAGGAAAGGACTAAACATTTTGCAGAGACGTTAACCCAAGTCCATGTTGTCAAACGAGATGACTTTTGGGCATTTAAACTCGCTCCTAGAATCAAAGATATATACTCAGAGCCAGATTATCCCAAATTTCCACCAAATACTGTGAACGAATATTACTCTTGTGCAATGCATATAAAGTATGAACTTCTAGAAATTGTGATTAAGAAAAAGCTCCATAGGACTAGATACTTATCATGGGTCGATATAGGTTACTTTCGGGAGAAAATGAATAAGATTTACAAACTTGAGCCCCCAGATAATTTGAAGGAGGGCCATATTGCATATACCCAGATTCATCCATTTTATGAGTACATGCAGCCAGAGGATATAATAAAGAACAATGCTGTGTGGATAGCTGGAGGTTTTATCTTAGGAAAACCAGAATACCTCATGATCATGATTGAAGATTATCGGAAAGCTGTGGAGGACTTGATTTCTAAACGTTTGATGGACACTGATCAGCAAGTCCTGTATATCCTGTATTCTCAGTACTCCGACGTCAAACCCAGGGTACCAGTTCAAACAATTTACCACTTGTGTAGGTGTAACTGGTTCTTCCTTGGGGAGCTCTGTCGGGATACATATGATCGACAATTTAGACCATTTTTTCCTTTGTTGAACTTTTTATCTTACTTAGTGTAAACTTTGCCTGTTTTATAAAGTTTGCGTCCTCAACAACTATGGTGCATATAAAAGATTAGACTCTCTTTGGTTTAACTCCAGTGTTTTAATATAAAAGAAAAATAATTTTATCAACAAATATAATGAGACTTTTTTTAAAAAAAAAATGATTTCAGAATATACAGTGAATCTTGTCTAATCTTGATGTTGTGTATTCCAGAATCTTGTCTAATATGATATAAATTTTAAGTCCCTTGCAGAAAATTCACTTGTTTTAAATACTTGTATTGTCAAATCCAGAAAGATGTCATACCCAGCCATTTTCTTTGGAACAAGTGGTGTTCAGCATAGACAAGTTTTACTGTACATGTATTACTATATACCGGTATACAATATATACACACATGACAAACCTGTGTTTTACTGCGTACAGAGCAGACAAGTTCATGCATAATATGATTCCAAAAGTCCTTGTACATCTTGTAAATGGTAAATTTACCCTGTGTTTTGTTTTCCATAGGTTAAACTTTCCTGGGTAGTTGTATTTAAAAGTGGATGAATTAGTCAGATTAAAATTTGAAATTTTTTACATGTAAAAGTAATCATGAATTGTTGAAGACCTAGTCAATTTTTTTAATGAAATGATTAGAAAGAGATGATTTGGATTCCTGTACATATTTCTTGTTTATGTTGTTGTGTGCTCAACTTGTTTCAACATTCCTTTTGTTCCAATTTATTTCTTAATATTTATAAAAGTAGTCAGGCATTGGGTCTTCCCTATATTTTAAATTGGGTATAAATATTGTGATATACATGTACATGTATGTATTTATATTGTAAATTCATTGCTTCCCATTGAAAGCAACTATTTGATAATGTCCTAAAATGTTAATAGGGTACATGTACGTATGAAATGTGTTTACTTTTACTTATATATGATCTTGATCTCATATTTTCTGATATTTTAATTTAGCTCACTCTCTCAAACACATTAATAGTCCCTCAATTTTTTTTTTCAAGATTTGGACAACCATTTTGAATTGAATCACACTTTATATATGTCCCAATAGGTCTGTTTGCCTTTTCATTAGCATTTTTGTGTTTGGATGAAAACTTTTAAAATAATATGAGGCCCAAGTAAGGCTTAGAATATTCCAACCTTGTCAGCTGATGCATTTTTGGTAGAAGCAGGTGTGTCAAACTTTAATAATAGGTTGCTATGATCTTCTGTGATAAGATGCTATGAACAAATATGGTGAAACCCATACCTGAAAAACTAGTAGACTTAGAATCATCAAACCTGGTTGTCTTCAAATTGACCTTGTCCTCTTATTTTCTTTTGCTGATGTTTTAATTAACTTTTTTTTATCCAAGACAATAAAAGATTATTTTAAATAACTTAACAGACATGGATAGATGGTGGGGAAAATTTTTAAAATTTTAATCACACCATTATTTTACAAGCTAAACTTATATGACCTTGACCTTTACCCTCCATACTTAGTTAATGTGAAGGTCATTTAAATGTAAAAATTCTTCTGGGGATTATTTTGCAATGTTTAATAATCAGTTTCATCAGAGTATAGAAGAAATTTTAACACTCTAACATTTAGCTTTCCTGTTGAAGCCTGTCTATATTATTTATATCGAAAATAAATTGCTGTTCCATAAAACAGGCATGTTCTGAACAAAACTTTATTTAGGACTTTTTTTATATATACATTTTATGATTTTCTTGTACAGCACCTGTACAAAGTGTTCAACATATCACCATACCAGTTCTCAAGACTAGTCCCATTGCATAAATATTTTACTATTGGACTTGGATCATTTTTCCCAAGTTGAATTTTCTCTTTAATGGGAAGATACTATAGTGTCTGATGTCAGGAGAATTCCACATTCACTCTATTTTTGCTTTGATATATAGTGACTTTAATATTCCCATGTGCAATTACATGTTCCTATGTCAAAATTATTGTTTGTGAATCAAATTCCCCTTTTGAAAAATGATCTGCATTCAGCCCTGTATGTTTTTGACTATGAATGTATTTAAGTCTTGTGTATATAAGCATTATTTTGTGTTTTTTCTCAAAATGTTATTTTAAACACTGTAATGAAATATTAAATGTTTTAATGCATCATTATTTTAAAGATCTTTTTTGGAAAAAAAACATGTATTTGAGTATGTATATTTAATAGTTTGCTCTTTGCTCACAAAATATTACATAAATCTGTTCAATGTGATTTTAACCATGGTTTTAATTTTGAGGAGAGGGAGGCATAAATATTCTATTAAAAATTTCCAAATACAATAAACACGTACATCTTGACTTTTAGCTGACCTAAGCCAAGGGCTCAAGTAAGCTTCTCGGATTGAAAAGGGTTTGACAACCATCTTTTTAGCTCACCTGAGCCTAAGGCTCAAGTGAGCTTTTCTGATCGAAATTTGTCCGTTGTCTGTCGTCGTCGTTGTAGTTGTTGTCGTCGTAAACTTTTCACATTTTCATCTTCTTCTCAAGAACCACTGGGCCAATTTCAACCAAACTTGCTACAAAGTATCCTTGGGTAAAGGGGATTCAAGTTTGTTCAAATGAAGGGCCATGCCCTTTTCCAAGGGGAGATAATTATGAATTTGAGAAAAATTAATTGCATTTTTAAAAAATCTTCTTCTCAAGAATCACTGGGCCAGGAAAGTTGAAACTCATTTGTAATCATCCTCAGATAGTGTAGATTCAAGTTTGTTCAAATCATGACCCCCGGGGGCAGGGTGGGGCCAAAATGGCCGATCAAAGTTTTACATAAGAAAAATAAAGGCAAAATCTTTAAAAATCTTCTTCTCAAGAACCACTGGGCCAGGAAAGATGAAACTCATGTTGAATCATCCTCAGATAGTGTAGATTCAAGTTTGTTCAAATTATGACTACCGGGGTAGGGTGGGGCCAAAATGGCCGATCAAAGTTTTACATAGGAAAAATATAGGAAAATCTTTAAAAATCTTCTTCTCAAGAACCACTGGGCCAGGAAAGATGAAACTCATGTGGAATCATCCTCAGATAGTGTAGATTCAAGTTTGTTCAAATCATGACCCCTGGGGGTAGGGTGGGGCCAAAATGGCCGATCCAAGTTTTACATAGGAGTATGTAGGAAAAATCTTTAAAAATCTTCTTCTCAAGAACCACTGGGCCAGGAAAGATGAAACTCATGTGGAATCATCCTCAGATAGTGTAGATTCAAGTTTGTTCAAATCATGACCCCTGGGGTAGGGTGGGGCCAAAATGGCCGATCAAAGTTTTACATAGGAGTATATAGGAAAAATCTTTTATAATCTTCTTCTCAAGAACCATTGAGACAGAAAAGATGAAACTCATGTGAAATTATCCTCAGGTAGTGTAGAATCAAATTTGTTCAAATCATGACCCCTGGGGGTAGGGTGGGGCCAAAATGGCCGACCAAATATTCTCATAGGAATACTTTGGAAAACCTTTTAAAATCTTCTTTTCATGTACTTCAAAGCCATGATTAGTAATATTTATGTAGAATTATCCTCAGGCAGTGTAGATTCTAGTTCTTCCAAATCATGATATGTGCTTTTTCCTAGCTGATGTTCTCAGGTGAGCGCTGTGGCCCCTGGGCCTCTTTTTTTAATGTACTATGTAGTATCTACCCGGTACTTAAAACTTTCCACATTTTCAACATCTCTAGAACCACTACATCACTTTCAAGTTTGTTCAATTCATGACCTTAGGGGCTAGGACTATGATGCAAAAAGAGATCAATTTTTATATTCAATTTCATATTAAAAATCCTCTCAAAGCATCAGGGCAACAAGAAGTCATATTGATTGATTTGCAGGCATGTAGAGTACATGATGTACATTTTTATTTCAATTTTCACATTAGTGGCTAGTAAGGGGGTCACAACTAAGAGTCATATTGATAAGATAATATACAATGATGGACTTCTGTGTACATGTAGGTCTATATGTGGTTATTATATTTAAGCAACCAAGTTTGCAAGGTTGCTGTCATTTTGTGGCTGAGAATCATCAAACTTTCCCAGTAGTCGCATTTTCTGTCCTTGGAGTGTGTCAACCAATTAGGTCACTGAAACCTACTTGTGGAATTCATAACTACGTACTAGTATTTTAATTGTTTCAGATAATTGGTTTAGAATCATTAAACTTTGTCAGTTGATGTATTTTGGTCCTTGGAATGTGTCAACTAAAAAGGTAGATCACAATGACCTTAACTTTTGGAATATTAAGGCAATATCTAAATATTGCAAATGATAATAAGATTAGAATCATCAAACTTATCTTATCAGGTGATGCATCTTGGGTCCTTGGAGTGTGGCAGCTTAAAAATTAGGTCACTGTGACCTACTTCTGGAATTTGTATAATTAAATATTTTAGATACTAATTGCTTGAAATCATCAAACTTTGTCAGTTCATGCATCTTGGGTCCTCAGAATGTGTCACAACAAGACGGGTCATATGGTGACCTGCTTTTGGGATTTAAGAGCAATATCTAAATATTTCTAATAATAAGAGGCTTAGAGTCATCAAACTCTGTCAGTTTATAATAAATATTGGGGTCTCAGAATATATGGTTCAAAAAGCAGATTACCCTGACCTATTTTTGGAATTTCATAACTGTGTCAGAATATTTAAGATAATAAGGGCATCAAACTCTGTCAGTTGATGCATCTAGGATTCTTGAAGTGTGTTTACCAAATGAAGTTGGGATGATCTACTTATGGATTTTCAAGCCTTTTCTAAATATGAAGGATACTATGGGGTTTAAAATAAAAGTCAAGGTTGTACAATTTAATCAGAAGAGCTCAATTTTTACTATAAAATTTGTTGAGCGCAGGCCTGTTCCAGAATAATATTTACATTTATTAAATGATCAGGAATTTTGGTGCTCTCTGATTGGTGTAGAAGCCTTTTCCTGAGATGTACCTCAGAGTGAGTTCACCTCATATGAGGTTTATTCAGGTTTTCCCTCTTGACCAACCATAGATTTGCTTATATTTTTTTTGACCAATCAGATTGCGTGTTTCAAAGCATGTTTGGGTGTGAATGTAAACATGTCAGACGCCAGTTTCAAGGAGATTAAACGCTTTTGAAAGAAAATGGATGAGTATTTATTGTTTAATAATACTGTTTTCCATTTTTAACTACTAGTTGTTAAGCTGTTGAAGTATAACAATATGTGAAAAGTGTTGTTACACTTTGCATTTTATTATGAGTGTTTATATTTGATGGAGACATGAACAAAGTGTCAAAAGTTTTGTAAAATTCCTAATCATTTAATGGTTATTGACTTTTGAATTCAGTCTGCTCATGACTATACAGACCTGGTCAGGTTTTGGTTAACCTCAGCCTTTGGCCTCGGTCAACCAATACCTGACCAGGTCCGTATAGTCATGAGTAGACCTCATCAAAAGTCAATAATTGTATAATATCATTGATATTATCATTCCACACATGATATCAAAATATTGAGCTGGAGTGACTTTTACTCAAAATATTGACATTATATACACCATTTCTCTAGAAATGGAAATTTTGATGGCTTATGAAAATATTCAGTGCTTTGAAGTCTGCATATATCATGATATATCCCCCTGTATTAGAAGATAATGATAATATTTCTCCATCAAAGTTTGATTTGGGGGCAAATCTTGGTCATTACCGTATAAAGTCCTTTACGGAAAGTTCGCGCAAGTTAAGTACAGTCATCGGGCACCTGCACTAAAAGACTTTAAAAATATACTTGTGGTTCCGAATTTAATTTAAACTAAACAAGCGTTGTGTTTTTATAATTACGTATGTATGACTGTGACACAAATTCATGCACAGAAAAAAAATCGTTATCATGCCAGTTTTACAACACCTCTTTTGAAGACGTAGATTACATCGAAAAGTACTGTTAGTTATTTAATATCACTACCGGCGTCCCATAAACGTAAGAGATAACTCGACCCCCTTTACATAGTTTTGTATAAATTAAATTTCAAGATGGACATAAAGTTTATACCGGCTGAAGATGTTAAGAAGGTGCTACGTTACAAAGATCTCATACCGCAGATGGAATCGGCTCTAAAGAAATTTTCAAGTAAATCCATCGAGCAACCAGTAAGATCGATCGTCAAAGTGAAAGAAGTAAATGGGTAGGCCTGAATATTTTTTTTATGATTAAGCACGTTCAGGGTAGTACCACTTGTGTGTTTAAACATTGAGGGTATTAATGCAGAAATATCTCGACCTGGGAAATCATCCCCAAAAATACGATGAACCGTTCGCGTAAATATTTTATGAATGATATCACCAACATTGTTCAAGCCGCTTAACCCGAAACAAGCACAAATTTTCTTACACAATAAAAGTACTTCATTACATAGATAATGTATAAAAAGAAAGTATAAGATTGATTTAATAGTTTATTACAACAATCCTTACATGGAAAACGCAGATCAAAAACCTTATTGACAAACAGTAGTTCCTGACGGGTAACACGAATCACCGGAATGCCCGTAATCACCGAAATGCCCCTAAAAATCACCGAAATGCCCATCAAAATCACCGAAATGCCCTTGCATATGTTTTTACATGATGTTTTTCATAAAAATTAATGCCTAATTATTTTAGTAAAGCATAACTGACGATAAAATTAATTATTTTCATGTTTTGTGCTAAAGCGTATCATACTACAAAGGGCGATAACTCGTTTTTGGTGATGAACTTCTAAGATGTGAAGTCTACGATGTTTTTAGAAATCAAGAATGTACGTAAATAATATTACAAACAGAATTTTCATTGATATGAAAAATATGATTTATGTTTAGAATATATTTAAAAAGAAAATAAAAAATTAAAAAAAAGACTATTTTGGCACGTGCCTTTAATCAGTGAGAGTTATCTTTCTTAGATATTGTAACATGTACAATTCTCTGTCCAAATAAGAATACTTACGCTAAAATTATGAAATTTTTATTCGGTATCTAAGCTCTAGAACAGTTAAAATCATCAATATTTATAATTTTTTTGTTTATATATTACAAAATAAGGGGCATTTCGGCGGCATTTCGGTGATTACGGGGCATTCCGGTGATTCGTAGTACCGGTTCCTGACGGAAGTT